AACATATCCAGCCCATCTTTTCTCCTTATAAGTTTGTCAAGTTTGTATCAGGTCATTAAAACTAGATCATTAAAATTTGTCCTTGCTGTAGAAAATTCTGCTAAATACAAATACATTCTTAGAAGACGAATGAAATTCAGAATGCTTATTGTTTAACAAACATTGAGTAAATATTCAATTTACATGACTACCGCGCAAAAAAAACTGTTTCTCTCTAACTACTTTTATTGTCAACACGTGCTTAGCGCTAATTTTCCTGGCTTAACAGCAATGAGCTGTCGCGCCCTGTACCGTTACCACCGATAGTACAAGGCCTGACAACAGACTCGTGACGTCACCAGGAGTAGGCCGGTCGAGCCGCCGACAGCACGGCGTGCCGTACATCAGCGCTAGTGAATAATATATTATTATTGCAGCATATTTACCTGATGTAAATAACGGATAATTCAGAAAAGTGTTTTTGGTATATGAAGGCAACTTGGTGGAAACAGAAAACAAGTATCAAAAATAACAAAAATTAGAATAACGAAAATTAAAGAACTAAATTCTGAATATGTACAAATAAACATTTATTTTTATTATTCGAAATCGACTGGCCTATCACCGAGAGTGAGACACTGAGGACGTGCAAATATTAAAAGAGGATCGTCCGCGTCAACGGTGCGGCGGCTGATGATATGTGTACGTCCTTGACCCCGCAACCCGCAAGCCCCTCGCCGCAAGCAATCAGCAAGCTGTAACGCGAAAACTAAGCAATTTAGCAAAAACATTGCTGTGATCTATTTTGATGGCCCAAAAATTTAAAAAAATTACGTGTAAAAAAATCCCAGATATCCTCAGCCGTTTCAGCGAAAAAGAGGTTTTTGGGGTTTTTCGCTATTTTACAAAAAACGGCTGGTTTCCGGAAAACCAAACTCATAGCTTTGTGGCTATGTAATTCACTTTTGCAGCAGTTTCGGCTATTTAACTGGACTAGACTACGCCATGTCTAACCGTGTAAAAATAGTATATGCTTCCTTTAAAGTATCTCTCTCAGGTGAATGGTAACTCTCTTATTTTCAATAAAATACTCAGTAATTGCTGACATATATCAATGTAGGGATTGTAACAGTTTTGGTCCATGCTTCGAGTAAGATCCAAATATTTTTTTTTAATATTCGGCGTTGTGTCATCGTCGCAAACTTTGTGTCGGGGTTCAAATGAAAAGATAGGTTTGTATAGCTACACCAGGCAATTTATGACGTATTTCTTGATGTTATGTGAGAACTAGGGGCCATCTGAGTCAAATCGTTGTATTTTTTATAGTTTGGGAGATATTCTATAAGAAATCGACTGTATTCATTAGATCCATTACCTGATTGAGGCGCATTTTTGTCCAGCAATATTGCACGTCAATGACGAAAGCTCAAGTGTGGGCCAAAACGTGTCTTGTCCAGACTCCCCGCCATCACCCAGTGATGTAAACATCTCTTGGTTGCCAGCAGCCGCAGTAAATACAAGACTAGACATTTATGGCTAATAAATAATTAGAATTGGTTCCATTTCCATGTGAGGCTTTATATTCTCGCAGATGTCTTACATAGATTAACTGGCTATCGATATTAACCGAAGGTTAAGGTTTTTACCTGTTGTAAATATGGCGGTCGTAAATTTATACGGTTATTTCTACGATAAATAACCAAGTCTAATAAGAATATAGGACGAGAACATAATTGTAATGCTCTGTAAAATGTTTGTCACTATACAATTTCATATATTATATCACTGATTCGTGTATGCTACCAGGAAATAGCGAAACATATACTGTATTCCGGCGTCCGAAAAAGATCCATGTATGAAGCCGCAACCGAGCACAGAAATGAAATCTACTTCGAAGAGAGTTAGAGTGTTTGTTTCCGGTGGTAGCTCATAGATGGCGATAGAATATTCAATTTATCTTTGGCGCCTCTTCAGTATTTGTTTTGATTGTATTCCGCCTGAAATTGTGTGGTCTGCTATAGCCTCATAGATGGCGCTAGTTCTTTCAGATCCCTTTATCGCCGAGCTCCAGTATATGGTTGGCTATCTTGAGATAGGATGGGTTAATCAACAGTTATACACTATTTATCACGACATTCAAGACATTTTTACTTCTATTCAAGTGCCCTCTTACGTCACTTCTGTATTAACAACAGAGAAGCTGTTGAAATTAATTAACTAATCATAGCAATATCGAACAAAATCTAATTCTTATCTGACTTGAACTGCATTTGTGATCATTAGCAGCTAAGGGTTTGTTCATACAGTGTCGGTGACTTGTTCGTGACTATGTCCGGCCGTGTGAATTTCGCTATGCTGTATATAGCAGAATGAACAGAATTTGTGTAGTAGGATCTTGGACACGATCACTGACTGGTTGGCGACTGCTGTGCGAACAGGGCTTATATGGATTAGTTCCTTTTGATTATAGACCGAAACTTCCATAAGTACCTTATTCAAAGCAAAGCACACAAAATCGATGGCCGTAGCTAGATGACAGGAGAAGTAGTTGCATAGAGTGAAAATGAAGCACGTATCTGAATATAAACATTTATTAATGTTTTCGTAAAATTGTCGTTGTCCAACAATTCTACTTCTTGCACAACAACACGAAGACCAGCACGACAACCATCTCCCAAAACACCGCCGTTTGGACAGCTGCCGATCTGGAGTCGAAGGACTTGATGACAACCTCAATTCCCCTATCAACATCTTCTGTTTTGTATTCAGCACCCTTAAACTGAGTCAAAAACTGATATTTGAACATCCGGTGTCATATAAGCCCGGTTTTTCGATCCATGGTTAACTTTCAATTTAAGTAACTACGACTTGGAAGTTGAATACCAGTTACCTGCGCATTCATTTTTCAAGCTCTAGTTAACAATCCATAAACTATTGACCCGTAGGGTATTTACGTAAAAACCTACGTAATGGCAAAGAAGCAAATTGATGTGTGGTTTTTCTAATGCAAATTCAGCTGAAGCGGTGCGGTTGACCAAATATGTGCACTTGTATTCCGGCAGCGCGTAGCTGAGCGAGGTTGAGTACACTCGGAGACGTATACCGTCTGTTACGCGGAGGTCAGCTGGTTGAAGTTAACTACCGCTTTAGGACATTTGACGCTGGAAATCGCTTTTGAGAGTCAAGTTCTGATTAGCAGTCCTGTTGCAGTTAACTTGCGATTAGAAAACCGGGCCGTGGAGTGTAAATATAAAAATTGATATAAATATGCTGACCTCTGTCGAATCCGCCGACTCTTTGTCTTCCGTGGCTTCCTCCAAACGTTCAATCTTTCTGGGGGCATACACTGAGAAAGGAACTACTTCGAGCAAGTTTTTGTCAGACACTTCTTGGTAGGTATAGTTTGTGAAGCCATCCCTGCATATGAAACCTCCTAGTTTTGGGGCAAAGGCTGCTTGACTGGAGAAAATGTCTAGGCAATACCTGGAAAGATTAAATGCAACAATCCAGAATAAAGTATGTTCACTGAGAAAGCGCGGTGAATTGAACAGTTTTTCTGGGAAATTGTCAATGCTTGTAATGAATTTTTTAATTATTCTAAGTAACTAAATTATTCCAGTAAACTAATTTACTTGAGCAATATAATTAAAATGTTTTTGCTAAGAGCAAGAAGATTTTAGTAGTTCCAAATAAATTGATGTACTCAGTCTAAGTAAACGGTTTAATAAATTTAATTTAACGGTTTCGTTTTCATTCAATCAAACTAGTTGTATATATTCAAGTAAACTGATTCAGAAAGCGGAGTTTAATTGAACTAATTAAGCTTTTTAGCTGTCACATGGTTCATTAATTTTCTTATTGGCTTAATTAAAGTTTTAATTGGCTTAATCATATTGTTATCTTAGTGAGTGATAAGAACATCGCTATTTCCTCTCCGCGTCCTTTTGCATTATGTCGCTAGGCAGATTATATCAGATAACTTTGTTGAAAGAAGGCATTAGAAGGGATTCGTACTTCAAATTTATTGGTGCTATTGTTTACAGATGCAGTAACAGTATAAGTAGCATTTTCAGGACGATTAAATATTCTCTGACCCCACTTTTGCCACTTTTTGAAACCATGATTGATTATTTAAGCACAGTGGTTCCAAAAACATACAGTTTCAAATTCACCACAGATTTTAACCATGACCATTATATTAATCGCTCAACTTAATTAGCTTTCTTTAATTACTTATTCTAGCCCTACAGTCCTACAGCTTGCGTAGTTTCGATACGGTTTAGAGGCAGAAGGGTGCCTGCTCTAGGGTACTTAGAGTGACGAGATATCCCAAAACAAATTTGCAGATTTACATTCGGCTATAGAAACAAGAAGTGATATGCTTTATTCTAACGGTTTCAATATCCTCAAAAATACTCCTCTTCATCGTTGCATGTCAAACTAGGTTATTAATGCCCAGTAGAGATAAGCTAGCTTACTGTCTTAGCTGCTGACGGCCATATGTTAACGTCTGTCCGGCCTCTAAGGGTGAATTTGAATAAATAAACAAAAAATAAACTTCTTTATTAGTATTAGTGTACATTTAATGCCATTTTAGTGCTTTAGTGCTGCACGTTAAATTGTGAATCTCTGTACACGTTCACAAAGCGCGGTTCCTCCCTTCATCCATGGCAATGCAAGCGAATGAGAAAAAGGGTGCAACGGGGGCGCAGACGTCAGATATGTCGTGCTGGCCATATGATCCGTTAGAGGAAACACCAGAATATAATAAAATAACGATAAGAGTTTTGAGTTGCAGGTTAAATAAAATTCACGAGGTCTCTGCAACTTTTGTCTAATAGCATCTCGTCACTCCAAGTGCCCTAATGCAGGTACTTTGTTCAATAGGTATGCACCTAAAAGCATCGGGTAGATGAAGGCTGAGACTGCATTTTCCTCAAAACCACAATGAAATTAAACAAGTGCTAGTACTAGATCAAGTGATCAAAGAAATTTAAGCAGTTTAGTAATAAATGAGCAGCTGAATCAGAACGTATGCTATATATTTCTTATGATTTCATCATGATACAAGGCAACGTATTTTCTCGTACAAGACAACCATTAAGGAAATGGCAACCATACGGCCTAGAGCGTTGATGGTTCCAGCTCCAGCTCTGGAATCAAACGACTTGATTTGGATTTTTGGTTCATTTTCATCAGGATATTCATCATCTTCACTTATTTGCAATGCTTTCACCTTCAACAGCTCTTTTCCAAGTTTTATACTTTTTTCCATGCCGACAGATGATGGTACCAACTTGCTATTTGGGGCTGTTTCTTCGTAGCTATAGTTTTTGGTTGCATTTTTGCATATCCAGGCTCCTGGAGAGGATTTGTTGGAGATTCTGTCTAAAAATGTATCCAGGCAATATCTGAAATAAAACAATTTGTGGGTTTCATACAATCTTTTTAAAAGAGAAACAAAACTGTTAATTCAAAAATTGAAGTCTATATTCGAAAAAAATATACAAGTTTCACTCACTACGTGTATCTACTTTTTTATAATGTTATTCGCCTTTACAAGGTTTTGATAAAACAAAATTTCGATAGATATGCTTTTTCGATTTTCGGTGCTTTCTATGTATAAACAAGATATTTTGGTGTACTTAACTGCTCCACCGTATTCAAGAACATCAAACCCCTCTATTTTATTTATTAAGGCAACCTCACTATTTACGCTTATAGGTATGCTAAACCCCAAAGCTCTAAAATAATCATTCTTAAGGCAGGGTTCGCACGGTATTGAAGTTTCAAACTAACAATTATCCTTTGATATTGAACTCAATCGTATAATCCATCCTGATTGCACTGCTTTAAAGCCCTTTGACCTTTAATAATGTGTGGATGCACCCTAATGTGCTACACATTCTCCAACGCGCCTAGGCATGCTTCTGATCAGGTGGTCAATGTCCTCCTGTGGTATCTCATTCCAGCCAACCACCAACTCCTCTCGAAGTGCTTCTAGAGTCTGAGGAGGACGTTGCAAATTGAGCAATCTCCTACCCATCATATCCCACACGTGCTCAATTGGGGATAAGTCGGGAGATCTTGGTGGCCATGATAACAATGTGACATCATTATGTTGAAAGAAGTCTATTGTGACTCTTGCAACATGTGGTCGGGCATTATCTTGTTGGAAAGTTGGATCTACCAGGGTGTCAAGATAGGGTAAAAGATGGGGTTCTAGAACTTCGTGGATATAACGCTGCGCGTTCATGTTACCTCTGATGAAGATTAAAGGTGACCTGGAACCATAAGCTATAGCACCCCAAACCATAACTCCAACAGTGTGATGAACATGTCTTTCAACAAAAAACTGTGGATTCCTCCTTTCACCACGTCGCCTTCTAACCCTGGCACGACCATCGTGCATGCCTAAACAAAATCGAGACTCGTCACTAAAGACAATACTGTTCCATTCCTGATCCCAGAGTGACCGTTGTCTGCACCACTCAAGGCGATTACGTCGGTGTTCTCGAGTTAAAGGGAGGACCCAGTGTGGTCGGTTTGAAAACAAGCCAAAACTTCTCTTTCGTCGGTAAACACTTCGCATGCCAATAGGTCTTCCGTGTTCTGCAAACCATTCACTTGCAATGGACCTGGTAGTGGAGAAACGGTCCCTTAAGGCCAATAATCTTAGGCGGCGATCTTCACGGTCTGTTGTTCTACGGCGGCGTCCAGTGCCCCTTGCTCTTTGCGTACGGCCTTCTCGAAGCCATGCCTGATAACACCTAACCACACTTCTTTGCACTCTAACTGCAATTGCCCGAAAAGAAAGTCCAGCTTCCCGAAGTCCCACTATACGGCCCCTATCAAACTCACTAAGTTGACGAAATCGTACAGGTCTCCGTACTCTAGGCATCGTAACCGATCGTAAAGGATGTCAAGAACCAAAATCCGCCAACGTTGATTCTTTACTGCGGCTGAAATATTCATTTTTAGAGCGTTAGTGAATTAAAAAAAAATCAGTATAAAAACCGGAATGTCCAACTGATAAGGCTGAAAATTTTTTCACTCGTTATTTACAGTAAGATAAATACATTCACCAACTTTTATTAAAATAAAACCATTTAAACTGGGTGTTCGGATTTATATGTCACTTAGTATATCTGCTCACTTCTAGAGTGTAAGCAGTTATCGGTAGGAAATGTAGAGATTACAGTTCGCGTTCACAGTGAACGTAAGATGCTGACGATTCTGGCGATATAGCAGTTATAGTCTACTTGCCATGACAAACTAAACATGCTTCTTTCGTCCCAGCCTGGGCCATGCTGATGAGTTACCAAAAAGTACGAAACAGCTTACCATGGTTGGCTGTCGGTGGTCGGACGGGCGAAAGCAGCATCTTGGTGATTGGGCTACCAAACGCGAACTGAGATCTTTATAGTATTCTCACAGTGGTCGAATCTCGTAATAGATGCGTTATCTCATTTCTACAGATCTCTTGTCTTCGATAGAAGATAATGATAATTGCTACGAATTCGTTCGTTGTCCCAGAGACCAAGCCTAGACAATGCTGATGAGTTGCCAAAAAGGACGAAACAGGCTATCTGCAGTCGGTCTCACGAAAGCAGCATGTTTAGTTTAAGTCGTAGGGTCTTAACAGCTAATTAGCTAAGGGACAACTTACAGGTTTTACAAATAGCTCGTGTTTTCATGAAGTTAAAAAATCACCGGCGAAATGTGGCATAACTCTTTGAATACAGAAGTTAAACCTATAACCTTTCCTAATGCTCATTAGCTTCTATAGGGCCCTTCGCCGGAGATGCCACGGTTTAGATTAGTAGCAAAAGCGAAAGGTCTGCTTAAAATTCAATTTTTTTAACTTCAATACCCTGCGTCTTGGATAATATTTTTAATTTAAACAATGATGACAATGTATACGATAGCCATAAGTGTGGTTAGGTTTACTCGCAAACGTCAAAACATCAGTAAGCCGGCAATTATTAAAACGGTGTGATTGAGCGCGCTAAAATTAAGGAAATTCATGAGCTATGGTTCGTGTCGTTCAAAGAAGGAAGAAAATATACCATCGAGTGCTGTATCTAAAAAAAGTTGCTTAATTCATCTAAGTCGCACTGGTATATTAACGCGATTTTATAAATTTCTACTTGCCTAATATACGCACAAATCAAATCAAAGGTATAGTAATTAGTAGCAAGATAGCATATGTAACTCCTTACTGTTGACTGACAACGGTCTTACCAATCTAGATATTGACAACACGATGCTGACGTCGCTGAATGAAATCGGTCAAATGGATGGACTTCGTTTCCTGAATGTATTTTATTTTAGAAAAGGTCCTTTGTATTTATAAATAATAGATATCTATATTTGTGCCTTTTCTAATTATACTGAAATCACTTCTACATGCGTTGCATACGAGTATATACAGAGACCTTACCCGACTATTATTTACTATTTTATCCATTTTCTACATTGATATCAAGATGTATACAATTACAACTACTGTTTGCAGTGTATACAATCGTGACATATACAATACGCCCATCGCTGCTTACAAACACAAACTATGTTCATAACCAAAAGTTTTCATGGAGATAGTTATAGGAAATCGCATATCAATCGAAAAATTGTGGTTATCAAAACTGGAAAATGAGTTTCTCCGTATTTTAGCGATTAAAAGTCCTGCGGGCACCAAATGACTAGTCAGACAATACTTTAACCCATTTTTATTTCTATTCAGGTGTCCTGTTCAGTTAATTTTTTACTGACGTAAATAACGTAACGACATTTGTTGTCACGGTGTGACGTGTTGAAGTATCGTAGTAAATATTGTCTATGTTTACATAAAATTTGTAGAATTGCTTAAAAATACAAAGAATATTTCGCGATTTAACCTTGATCAGTGCTAAGAAAATCAAGAAATGATAGTTTGAAACTAGCACGATTTAAATACTCCTTCCCACCCCCCTGTAATGGTCAACATCCGATTTTTAACTGCTGCAAATTTTTTTTTAAATTATCAGTTTGCTGTGAAACGTCAAAAAATTAAGTTGATACGATTTTAATTTTGTCGTTTTTGACCTCTTTCTCCGCCGCTACTGAACCAATTTGTAAAAACTATAAAGCCTTTTCGTCCTTGACACAGTAGTAAGCTTGCGTGAAATTTGCATCAAAATCCGAGCAGTACTTCCCAAGTTATAAACCGGCGGGACTGAGCTACATGGTTTTTCGTAGTGTAGAGGTCATATAACATCCAAAAAATATGATTATTTATTTAAGATAACCGTATACGACGTCTAACGCTTATTGAAAGTTGTGGTATTGAGAAAATGTGAATAGGCAGTGGACATAGATAACTCTTTTTACTTACCTGATTGAGCGGGTGGTCACTATTTAATTTTCTAGGTTAGTAACAATGTCTACTTAAGCAACATTATGAGCCACCAAAGCTGCTTGGCCTATGTGCAGAGAATTTCGAATGAAGCAGTAAAACCATACACTTCTACATAATACAGTCTAGTCCACCAGTTCATCAGACAATGATTGAAAATAGCATATCAATCGAAGCGGTGGCTTCTATTAGATTGTAATTCCTAGTGGAAGTATACTATCAGTACCTTGCACTAGCTGCGGGGTTGTCTACTTTAAGGTCTGCGACGTCAGTGCCATTTATTTGTCTTGTATCAAGTTGATAAAGCCTGATAAAATACGACACCGCTCGTTCATTGAGACGTACGAACCATACAGTAATAATGCTCATTTATCGGAATCACTGCTAAAATATTGTTGAATCTTCGCACGTACCCGTTCTATCACATCCTTCTATAAAGTCCCAAAAACCATGCTAGTGAAGTGCAGGTTGCAGTGATTTAGGCAAATTACAGAAAAACTGCTATTGCCCCATTCCCCCATACCTGGCACTCGCGACGTATGTGCTAGTGAGGGGGTGTAAATAGTATAGATAACTATGTACCCTACTTTGAGCGCCTTCTCCAGAATGCGCCCAAAGTAGGAGACATTAAATGTAGGGATTACTAGTTGTATTAAAAATGTACAGTGTTATCAGTGTTTGAAATGTCGAAAGCATTATTGTTACTTGTAAATAGAAGTGTCAAAAATGCCAACTATTGTTTTTAAAAACAGGAATGTCATGATTTTGTAGCTGCTTAAGTGGTGAAACAGTATCAGGTGAGACTTTTGTACGAAATAAAGAGGATATCGTGTTTTTTGGTTGACCAGAGTTCAAATAGCAATGGAAATGAAAATCCATGACGTTACTCAATCTTTTACGTACATGACGTTAGAATGGGACTGGTGAGCCGCGGCAAACGGAGTTGACTCGTAAGTTATCGGATTATCGCCGGTAAGCAGTAGTTTTATCGGAAGGTGACCTTAGAAAATGCGGCATTGGCCGGCGGGAAGGCTGTCAGCCACTTGGATATTTTTTGCATTACAAACGTAAGCCGTTCTAGCAAAGTTGTGTTATCACGACATGCCGTATAGACGAGTAAAGACAACAGCGGGCAAGCGTTTGATTAAATGATAAATATGGTCATTGTGCTGCTATCTTGCGGATATAGCTTTTCAAGGAACGGGGATGATCGCCGTTAAGTGATGCTGAAGTGTTATAAATGCAACCACATGTAACATGAAATCGATTGCAAATGTATATAAAATAGAACCTTTTATATATTACCCAGTTATAATATCTTTTTGAATTTTGAACACATTCTCAAAATAAAGGATTGATGATACATTTTTCCTATTTTAGAGATTTCAGAAAAACGGCAAAAACTCCAGTTCAAAATCCAGAAGTAATCGGTATTTCACTGATAATGGTATCGTTTCCTATAAAGAAATGATTGCTTATGGTGGCTTAGTTGGAAGCACTTTCTTCAGTTGGGGTTGCCACCGGTGGTACTAGAAATCAGTTAAGAGAGTATCGTTTGTAGTCCACCTACTACAAGTTTAGCGTTTGATAATGATGCGGAAATATAGTAAAGTATTCTATATAGTTTCTAATAATGAACACATCCTTACTTCCCACGTTCATAAAACTGATGCTGCCCATTCTCTTCATCATCCAACATAAGATAACCACTCTCCTGCGGATACACCTTGGTCATATTCAGTAGCAACATCATCAATTGACCTTTGCATTGAGGTATTCCGTAGGTCAGGAAAAAATGTTCATTCTGAGTGTCATTCATCATTCGTTGCAAAGTTGGTTGGAAGGTGGAGATGTTTGGGTTCGAAGGCACACATTGCTCAATGATCGTGTCAAAGTGCATGGTTTCTGGACAGCATTTTTGGATGCAGGTGGAGACTGTGCAGGGACACATCATCAAAGCATATGATCTGGAGAAAATAATAGTAATAATAAATCTTTATTTCAAAATAACAGTGCATGAATACAATTACACACTGATAGGTGAAATATACGTCACAGTGTCATCAAGACAGAAAAAACAAAGAGGCAAAACATATAGCATAATAGAGATATTACATTTCAAAATATTCTTGAAGGTCATATGGTTCTAAGTGCATTAACAATTGATAAATACTCTTTTTATATTCTTTTATATCTGCCAACCTTTTAATTTCTTGTTTTAACTTATATATTTTAGTGCAGCTGTAATGGACATTTTTTTCGGTAACCGTGAGATGATGGACTGGATACAGAAGATTTATATTTCTATTTCTTGTGTGATAGTCACTTCGTGGGTTTCCGATAAAATTGTCAATATTTTTAATTGCAAAAATTAGAATCTCTTGAATATGTATTGCGGCTACAGTCAAAATTTTATTACTCTTAAATTTTCCTCTGCAAGTCTCTCTCGAGGAAATTTTTAGGATGCAGCTCAGCACTCGCTTTTGCACTAGTAAGATCCTATTGGTATGGCTACTGTGTCCTTAAAAAATTATTCCAAAACGTACAATGGACTCAAAATTCGCGTAATATACCATTTTTAGAGTCTTGAGGTCTAGGTACTTGCTTAGTACTCTAATACTATAACATGCATTGCTTAACCTTTCTCCTAGATGTTCTATATGTTTAGCCAAGGAAAGTGCTTGGTCAATATGAACTCCACAGAATTTTCCACAGTCTGTCAGAGGGACTTCTATTCTTTTTGCTAAAGTGTTGTTTGTAGCTTCGATTTTTTTTCTTAACTTAAAAACAATCGCATTTGTTTTTGAGGTATTCAGAGATAATCTATTACGAGCAAACCACAAAAACGCTTTTTCGCAGAGGCTCAAAGTACTATCAGCTAAATGGTCGAAATCTTGGCCAGATACTAGTACACTAGTGTCATCAGCGTATTGGATCGTGCATACATTATTTGGGCTTGTAATACTAGCACACAGATCGTTCACAAAAATTAAAAAGAGGAAAGGTCCTAAGACGCTACCTTGTGGAATATATCTTTCTACCGTTAACTGTGATGAAACAGCTGATATTTCATTCTTTGTAATGAAAACACTTTGCTTCTGTCAGATAAGACTTAATCCAGTTCCAAGCACTTCCCCTTGTCCCGTATGCCTCGAAAATGAATACATATACGACTTATTTCAAATTCCAGAAACTGTTCGTCGAAGTGTTTGGTATAAACGAAAACATTGTGTGTTGTAAGAAGTCGCGAATTTACCAGAAGCGAAGTGCATAGTGAAGGGACTAAATCCATAGCCGCGCAAGCGCAATGGTGCCGTCATTTGTGAGACAGATATACAGGGTGACTTCGAAGTTGAGTCATTTATTTTAACAGTGAGTAGATCTGATCAAAAGAAATGTTTTTTTCTTTTACCATTTTTCTGGTAAAATTAAAGGAACAAAGTTATAGCCCTTTGGAAGTTTGAGTACCGCCCTGTCTCAATAATAATATTATGTGTTTGACAACAACGGATATCGGTTCATCGCATCGGAAACAAAAAAGCGAAAGAATTTGAAACGTTTATCACGTTGTTTTTCGTCAGTCGGTAACGCGTGGGTGAATAGTGATGTTTGTTGCGTGACTCAAACGAAATGAAAAATGGCACATGTTTACGAAAATGCTGAACTTGTGGACATGATTCTTATTTACGGGGGGGCAGTCTTTACAAAATGCTGCCGGATGCATCACGGATTTATGCGAATCGGTTTCCCAATCGAGTGCAACCAACCCCTCGTGCCTTTGTTAATGTAGTACAAAAGGCTCGTGAATCAGGTGACTTAAGACCTCACAGGTGAGAGCATGCCGGTGCTCCAAGACCGCACGATCAAATACAGGTCCGCACTGAAATACTTGTCGGGAGAATACTTTATTAAACAAGGTAACATTTTTTTTTTATTTTTACACACATATTTTGGTTTATCTTCCTTCTACAATCATTATCTGAAAATTAATGACTCAACTTCAAAGTCACCCTGTATATATATATGACAACATAATAGGAAATAAAAAAACTTGTTTAGATCTTGCAACTGATAAAAAAGTGATTTGCTCGACAACAAATACACCCTGGTATAGCAAGAATATCAAGGCAGCTCAAAATTTGAGAGACAAACAATACAAAAAATGTATATTCACACAATCAAATGATGATTGGGAGGTATATAAAACTCTTAGGAATAAATGTGTATATGTAATTAGAGAAGAAAAAAGTTAATTCTACGATAAACAAATCGATAATAACAAGTGCGACAGTGTAAAGATGTGGAAGACTTTAAAAAGACTGATCAATTCGAAGCCGCTTGATTGTGTAAATCAAGTTCAATTCGAAAACGGTACCAAAACAAATTCTTTGGTGATTGCAAACAAACTAAATGAATATTTTGTGGAAGGTATTGTTGATATTGTGGGTACTGCCAATGCTGCACCTGACTATATGAAAATCAGTTTCCAGGGGGAAATGTTGCATACACTTTCAAAATTTCACAGCGTATCATTGAATTATCTAAGAAAAAATCAAATAACAACTGTGCCGAAATCACTACTAAAAACGTGCTGAAAAACTGTTTCGAAATTTTGGGTTATCCTGTGTTAAATTGGATCAATTGTTCACTGAGAAGCAGTTCTTTTCCTGAAAATTTGAAATGCTCTACAATAACACCAGTTCTCAAAATAAAAAATTCTAAAAGATGCAGCGATATGAGACCAGTAAATGTGTTACCAGACATTGAAAAATTATTAGAGTCCATAGTGCATGACCAATTAATGCAGTTTATAGAAGAAAACAAAATTTTAGTGGAGGCGCAAGCAGGCTTTCGAAAAAAATATTCCACAGAAACGGCATTTGAAACGATTGATAGAGATATTTTGTTAGGTAAATTGAAGGCATATGGTATAACAGGAAGTGTTTTAGATTGGGTTAGAAATTATTTGTCTAAAAGGATGCAAGTTACAAAAGTTAATGACACTATTTCATCAAAAATTGAAAATACGTTGGGTGTTCCACAGGGCAGTATCCTGGGACCACTTCTTTTTATTTTATACATAAATGATTTACCTGCCATAGTCAAAAAATGCAAAATTCAGATTTTCGCCGATGACACTATGATTTATATAAGTACTAAAAATATTCAGTCTGGTATCTCTTATATAAATGAAGACTTGAAGCTTGTCTCAAAATGGTTATCATCTAACAGACTAAAATTAAATGCAAGTAAAACGAAAGCCTTGTTAACCGGAAAAAAACAATGTACAAATGTTCAACTGAATATTGATGGTGAAGATATTGAATTCGTAGAAAATTTTAAATACCTGGGGGTTTTTGTTGACTCTCGATTAATTTTTGATATTCATTATGACAAAGTTATAAATAAGATTAGTAGTAAAGTGGGATATTTATCGAGAGTTTCTGGATGTCTGAGTTCATATAGCAGAAAAATTATCTATAATACCATCATTCTTCCAAATTTCTTGTACTGTTCGACTATTCTATATTTAGCAAATAATTCCATTTTTGAAAGGCTGCAAATTTTACAAAATAAGTTCATGAGAATAATACTAAATAAAGATAAATATACTCCAATTAGGCAAATGATTAGTAAATCAAAATGGCTCAATGTAAAAAAATTTATCAAATATCTTGTAATGATATTCATTTATAAAGTAAAAAATAATATATTTCCATCAAGTCTTACTAATTTAACATCATCAAATGTCGACCATCATTTACATAATACCAGAAATAAGGATGACTTCCATTTAATGACCAAAAAGTATATCATATGCTACAAATCTGTATTCCATCAAGGGTTGATTGAATATAATAAATTATACTCGGAGATAAAAGACCAGAAAACTTTGACAAAATTTAAAGTAAAATTGAGAAATCACTTGTTAAATCTACAATTATAGGTTGCCCAGCATTTACATCATACACCATATGGCTTGAATTTACTAGTTCTAAGTTGTTTACAATTATTCTGTTTATGTAGCCAAATGTGCTAAATAAATCTTTCTACTACTACTAGACAATTGTCAGTTTGAGATTCAAATTTTTTCTAACCTCAAATCAACTAAATGTCTGTTATTTTATGGGTATCTGTTTATTTTTATGCTGTAGAGCACAAATATTTCTGTTCTACATCCGCTAGGTAGTGCTGCCATGGCGCACCCAGCGAATACATAACATACTAGGAGCTTTTAGCAAAAATAATGAATTATTGAGCCTTCCGTTACGTTACTTATGAGAGCGACAGCGAATAAAGATGGTTAAAAAAATCTGTGTCCTTGTGACCACTACAGTGAACCGTAGTAATTTCAAAGTACCGAGTCCTGGCAGTCATGGCAGGCGGCTTATTTCTTTCGATTTTGACGTGAAGCTAACCCCTCAATTTCAAAACGTTAAATTATTTTAATCAAATATTTCGCTAATACTCCAAGGGCAAGAAAGAAATAGGCTTAGAATCATAGAACCACAGAACGACAAGTGACCACAAAACTAACAGAACTACAATAAAAAGACATTCAATCAATTTAAATACTGTCTACTGCTTATAACGGGTGATTTTTTAAGAGGTATAGGATTTGATTTAAAAAAAACACAAAAAATTTGAAAAAACGATTAAATCTTTATTTGAGTCGATAGAACGGTCGATATAATTTAATGTTTAAAGATTATTTCATGTAAATGTTGGCCGCGGCTCCGCTTTAGATGGTCCATGCGCAAGGTCCAATTTTGGCACACTCTCTCCAACATATCGGCCGGTATCTCACGAATAAATGCTTCAATATTGGCTTCCAGTGCGTCAATCGTTGCTGGTTTATCCCTGTAGACATTAGCCTTAACATGGTCCCACAAGAAATAGTCCAACGGCGTTAAATCACACGATCTAGGCGGCCAAATGACGGGCCCCAAACGTGAGATAAACTGTTCACCGAACTCGCCTATCAATAGGGCCATTGTTTCGTGTGCGGTGTGGCATGTGGCACCGTCTTGTTGAAACCACATGTCAGCCAAGTCCAGCTCTTCCATTTTGGGCAAAAAAAAGTTTGTTATCATCGCACGGTAGCACTCGCCATTCACAGTTACGTTCCGGCCATTGTCGTCTTTGAAGAAGTACGACCCGATGTTGCCACCGGCCCATAATCCACACCAAACAGTGATTTTTTCGAGATGCATTGGTAGCTCTTGCAATGCTTCTGGCTGGTCTTCACTCCAGATGCGGCAATTTTGCTTGTTAACGTACCCATTCAACCAGAAATGAGCTTCGTCGCTGAACTTTTTTTCGATAAAAATGTGGATCTTCCTCCAACTTTGCCAGCGCCCATTCACCAAATTGGAAACGTTGTGGGAGGTCGTGTGGCTTCAATTCTCGCACCAGCTGTAACTTATAAGGTTTTACACCCAAATCCTGTCGCAAAATTTTCCACGTAGTGGAGTAACAGAGGCCCAATTGCTGCGAACGGCGGCGAAACGACATTTCACGTTTATCACTAACACTGGCGGATACAGCCGCAATATTTTCTTCAGTCCTCACTCTACGTCTTCGTGTTGGTGGTTTAATGTCCAATAATGTAAACTGGGTTCGAAATTTAGTCACAAGCTTCCGAATAGCTCCCTCAGTAGGCCGACCAGATTGCCCATAAATTGGAAGCAGTGCTCGATGCACTCTCTTAACCGAGCATGAATTTTGATAGTAAAATTCAATAATTTGCAAGCGTTGTTCGTTCGTAAGTCGATTCATGGTTAAATTATAGACCAAACTGAACAAGTTCGACAATGACACAAGACACGATTCACGCGTCATCTGTCAAAAACAGTGTTGCCAAAAAGATACTAGCAAAAAAATCACCCATTATTTATTTTTATGTGATTTGAAACTCATATTTCTGTTATATTATAACAACATCGCCGCATAAGGAAATATAAGCTTACGAAATAAGCCCTCCACTCCGTAGCTAACGGAGCTTTCTCATTTTGATAACGGATAACAAAGGATAATCTTGCTACTGCCCAAAATCGGAATAACGAAGCAGCAAAATAAGAACACTAAACTATTTCTATTACGGAAGTGGGATTCTGTTCACATCACTTGCTTAAAACTTATAGGTTACCCAATTGTTGGCTTGTACACGGTCGAAACTGAACATGGCATAAAAGTTCAAGGGGTGCTTTGTTAGACTATTTTGCTCTTTGACAATTTACGGAGAACAAAGTTTTCGAAAATATTATTTTTATTAGCAAAAACATAATGTTCAAAGTCTAAATCTACAGAAGCTGCAAGACTCTTGTGCCCTATTTAAAAAGTTGCAATTTTAAAAAGGTTACAGCTCCTTGAATAGAATCACGTCTACTTTCTAGTAGTTATTCTATTCCTTCGTTTTGAAGAATGGATATCATTACACAATATTTGTAGATTGTATAATATATTTGAAACATTTAATGTATAACTTACAGCTCTCCTTCATGTTTCGCTTCATCCACACAATATGTAGTCGATGGAAACTTCTTCATAGTATTGTTAACTACCAAAAGCTCCCCATTCTTGTGATTGATGTAATGGGTTTTGAGCTGTCCACCCTTAGGCCAGTACACCACTATCAAAAAAACGTAGTATCAAGATTTTAATAACATACACAGTAGAAACAAATAAAAAACTAATCCCCTTTGTAAATATAGCGTCGCTGTTTATTGAATCAAACTGTTGCATATAAGAAAAATACTTCTCACGCCTTCGAAACAACTTCTAGTGCAATTTCCATGTCGCGCAATGACATCAAAACAGTAGGTTTTGCTAGAAACAATAATGCACCGTTTGAGCTTTACATGAACAAAAAGATTCCTCAGATGGCAACAATATTACGCCCACATGATCTAGAGCGGCGTTCCTCTTATAAGTCACTTAGATTGAGTTTCAAAGATGCAGTATTTATAAATAACCATGTGGCGCACATCGTATGCGACCGATAGGCTGCTTAAAATATTGTTGTTTGTAAATGTACGGGCAAATCTGTGAGATGTGAAACATATCTAATAGGTGCGCAGAATTGCTGAGGATGGAGGTGTATTAATATATCAACATAAATAAACTGAGATCCTCCACCGACAGACTAACAGACAGACTGACAGACAGATCGACAGTCAGACTGGCAGGCATGTCGACAGACAGACAGACCGGCTGACAGACAAACCGACTGACAGACAGACCGACAGACAGTCAGACAAAGCGGCAGACAGACCGACCTACACACAGACCGAGAGACAATATCACGTTTTCGAAAATTTTCGCGATTTCAGTACTTCCTAGAGCAGTAGACGTGGAAAGTAAAAATTAATTTGGTATAACATTACATTAGAATTTAATAGAAACAAGCATTCAACCATTTATAAGAATTACGAATGTGACAGTAGTAATGAAAAGAACAAAATTATTGCATCATAAAAGAAAATAATGCTGAAATCATTTATATACTTAGATCCAAAATTATACCATAACATTCTAACACAATTAAAAAGAACAGAATACCATTATTAGAATAAGGTCTGCATGAGTAACTATAGGATACAGACACAAACATTATGCAATTTATAAAAATTCTAACATATAAATATCTATCTTTTCCGCATTACTGATCTACAATACTAAATTACTGTATTATATTCATATTGTATAGAGTTTTTCTAGTCCCTGTCAATCCCGTAAACCATTTATGGTTACTACTGTATTATGTGTTGTAGTGAGACCCACGCAGAAGGATATTATCCTTTTGTGGTATACCGATTTATTCGCAGTTTATAATTAGTGTAAATAAATATTATTACTATTATTAACAATGTATCTCAAACAATTCCGCTTATCCGCCCCTGACATGCACAATCATAATTTATTGGTAGCAATTTATTGAGTCTACGTACCTTCGGATTTGTCTCCTGAACAAATATGTGCAAAATATTCACTTAGGACCATTTGATCTGAATTCAGTTTGGCAGGTTTCATAGACGCATCGACTGCAATGCTGTTAGCAATGGCAACAATCTCATCTTTCTTCTCAACTGTTTCGCATTCCAGTGTATCATTAAGTATCTGAAAGATAGAAATTCGAATCTAAACCGCTAAAATTTATTTAAAAAAATCTAGGAATCTCGTATGCATGCAAATACTTTTCAAAAACTTCACACGTTTTATAAGACGAAAGATATCCTGAATAGGTACATCGAGATTTTGTTTTTGAATCAAACCAATGATTTTTTAAATATATCATGCTCGTTTATAACTTTGGAATATAGAAGTTTCAGAACTTACAAATATTTTGAAAAATGTTTTTCTTTAGGTCATTAATCGTCTATGGATTGTTTGATTAGATTTTATCATTGAGGAACCTCCTCAAAAAATTTCAAGCGGGGTTAGATGGTATGATCTCGCAAGAACCTACTTCAGTATTGCGAAAATCATGTGGGCATCAGATAAACATATTTTTGAAAATTCCAAAGTGTCCCGCAGTATGATACGCGATTTGGGCTACGAAAAGTCCATATCTGTGGTAATGCACGTATCCACGCGCGACTGTTGGAGATAGTTCTGAGTTTTAAGAGTAAATGCACGGAGACATCTATGAAGCGTGAAATATGTCTAATAGGTGCAAAAAACACACTGGAGCTGGAGGCGTATAATTATACCATCAGAAGAAAAACTGAGATATACCCTCCACCACCCTCCTCAAACCGTCAAAAAAAGAAGTTCGAACGATTTTTATCCTACCGATAGACTGAGAGATCGATAGACATGCAGACCGACGGAAATAAGAGACATGGGTTTTTGTCATATACATGTCATATAACATCCAAAAGCCATAATATCTCAATTTCGAAATTTTGCGCAATTACAATACTGCCTCAAAAGTAGGCCGCCGGAAATAAAAATGAGAGTGGAATCTCTTCGTACATTTGTACAATTATGATGCGTTCGTACGCCATAAAATAATCCTTAATGAAATCCCTAGGACTAAAAAGAAACAAGCATATTTTAAAATTTATAGGTCGTTGAAAAATGGAACCTTGAAATACCAAAGTATCTATTAAACCAAGGAACTCGAATAGATTAGGCGGAGCTAAGCCTATAGTCTACATTGCATTGTTTGTCGCAAGTGCATACTTTTGACTCATTTAATTACCATCGCCTGCAAAGTGACTTTGTATCAACATAATAGTAATAATACCGCCGGAAATATCTACCTTCATTGGACTTGTGCCGCTCTTTGCAAATTATGCAAGAAGAGTATTATGTCCTGAAATTGTTTAACACCACAATTATCTGTAAACGCTCACATTTTCAAAAAATAACACTATAAATTCGAATTTAATGACAGAACTGTCAAAAAACGAACTCATGTCAAGTTCACTTGTAGTATGCACTTTCATCCTGACTACAGATTGAAATTTTGGAGACAAACAAGTCGTAGGTTTGATCCTCCTAACTAGTCTAAATTCGTTGATTAAACACTTTTGAGGCACTATTCTTACCATCCCTCTGGAGCAAACATTCGTTGATAAGCAGCTCTTCCGCATTCTCAACCACTCTCTCCGTTCTTTCTTCCCAAGGCTTCAAATACTCAGGATTTTCAGGAGGTCCAGAAAGTAGGCCCGAAGGTCCAGAGACCAGAGGTGGAGTTCCAGAAGTCACATCCTGAGACCCGTTGAGAGGTCGTACGACCTTTGCTTCTACAGATCGAGCCAGGATCATTGCAGTCACTGCCAATACCGTGGCAGTACTGGAAGTGAGTAACATTATGCTCATATTCCGAACTGGTGACATCTCGGAACGAATTTTCGATTAATTCTTCATGAACTGTCATAGATGATACGTTGACATCCAGCCTTTACAGAGTGCTCAGAAATAAATAGATTTCGGCTAGACATGTTTTCTGGGGATCCGCAAGATAAAGTCTATTCAAGTAATCCACATACAAAAGGTCATTGAAATTTAGTCAAAACATGATCATCTGTAGGAACCAAAGATCCCAAAAGATTAGACGGAGCCAAACCTATATGTTAGCATTGTAATGTTTTCGCCAAAAGTGTGTATACTTTTGGATAATTGCCCACTATTGCCTGCCAAAGTGACATCGGAGTACATTTTTTGCAGTGTTGCGATGTGAATCGCTCATTTATTCTTAGCAAATAGGGATAAATCAAACAAGGCAAAGAAACGAAAATCAATATTTAGTATACATCAGAGGTCGCCAACCCGTCGATCGCGAGCTACCGGGTAGCTCGCAAAGGCAATTGTGGTGGCTCACAGGATATTTTTAAACGGTGTAAAAATCATAGAAGCTTCCGAAATTTTGTAAATTCTCATAATAAACACAAGCAGCGGCAACACCGCGGTGAGCGATCTGTTCGTGAACGATCTCGATTAATTTGAACAGAATAAATACGCCAGGCGCGGCGACAGTGCGCTCAGCTTAAAACTGAACGGTACAACGTCCAGAGGTTGGGCTAGAATTGGCCTGCAAACTAAAAACATTATGAGCAGTAGTAAAAAGATGAAGATATACCATTTCCATTCGGAATGGGAAGAACAATATGCTTTACAGAAGTTAAAGTTAAAAATGTATGCTTGTAATGTAATACATCTGTTTCCGCTGCTAAAAAGAGGAATATCAAGAGGCACTGTAAAACTGTACATTCGAATTTTGAAAATCATTCCCATTTACGTTCTGCAACCAGAACGGAAAAACTGAGACAATAGAAAAGTTCATTTAATTGGACAACAGGCAATGTTCTTAAAAACAATCGACAAAAGTAAGGTTGCAACTGAAGCATCATACCGGGTGTCCCTCAGATAATTACACAAAGAAGAGACACCTTATGAAGACAGGGAATGATAAAACAGGCGTTTGTAGAAGCTGCAGATTTTTTATTTGCCAACTTTAGAAGATAAAGTCAAGATAGAGTCTGCTATAAATCTATGCAGTAGAAGAATGTGCAAATGATATAGTTTTACAGTTGAGAAAAGACTCGATACTGTGCTTATTTTTCACTGCAGCTGTATGAGTCCAGAGATGTGGTTGACACCTCTCAGATGGCTGTGTTCTTCAGGATGGTTTTTAGTGATTTACGATAAAGAAGCTCTTTTGAAGTTTATTCTACTAAAAGGACAGGATACTGGGTAGGGCTTGTTTTCTTCTTTTAAAAATATTATTCCTTCTGAGGAAATTCCATTATCGAAAATAGTAGGCTTGACAACCGATTGCGCTCCAGCTATGCTTACGACTAGGTAGCTTACCGTTTATTCCAAAATGATGATGATGATGAAGTAGCTCAACACACTGAAAAGGTCGGCGGCCACTGGTATAGATATATAATAGTTGAGCATAGTATGGAAATTCCTATTATATCATTGTCACTAGATTTGGAAGTATTTTAATGAATTTGATATGCATAGCTTTTTTGATCGTACTAAGCTCCCACCATAGAATCTTGTCGCACTGAAAAGAGCTCTTCCTTTTCAGTAAAGATTGTATAACAAATAAACGAATAACTATTCGTCCACAATGTTATACTTGAAATAAAACAAAACACCAAACAAATCTAAATCAAGACGATCGCGCTAAAAAATGAATGTCGAAATGCAGGAAATACACGATGCAAATGCCCTATTTATATACCTTTACTCATTTTGGTCGGACCAGCGACTGAGCGCTTCCGCATCAGACACCTCATGCGAATTTGTATTGAGTTAGCTATGTGCTATTGCAGACTATGATATTGATATAAATCTCATCTAGGTCGATTCAGCCATTTTCCCGTGATTGAGTAGCAAACCTCCACACTTTCTAATTCATAATATTGAGTAAGGAAGTATATAACATCATACTACATACTGACCATATAAATAAGCACAACATTTTTATGTACAGAATTTTTTTTTATTTTGAACTGTACCACCGTTCAATCATGTATTTCATGTATTCATTTGTCTCTTCCCACAATAGCCCTGACTGGGGTAACTTCGTGACTTGAAGCCCATGTAAACAAGGCGTCTTCATGCAGCGATTTTGTTCGTCGACGCCTCGATTGTTCTTTTCATTGGTCGGTAATTTATCGTTATCTGTCAATTTTCAGCATTCATTTGTCAGAGCAAGGGTGCTGAAATGACAGCTTGCGTGTTACTTTGCGTGTACACAGTCAAGAAAGGAGAAACAATATTGGACAGTCATCACTTCTTAATATTTTGAAGATGATTTATTGGTCTTGTATCCGATGGTATTGTTTTGATTCATAATACTACAGTTAGCCCAGGAAGTATATTCGCAACCGCTTGGAAAAATATTCTGATTCGATTTTTCCGAACAATCTTACTCAAAAAGGATATCTTTCAACGAGTCTGTAAGTTGGCAGGCCCAAAGTTGCATCAAACGCTGTTTAAACAATTTTAAACAAATTCCAAAAATTGGCTTTTTCGATCCGAGCAAAGTTTTCTAGTAAACTACTGATATAGCTCTCGCCCATCTGCTCACAGACCAGAAACCATGGACAGTGGTTTCGTGCTTCATCGGCAACTTGTCAGCATGTCCTAGGCTTGGTCTCGGATAGGACAACGATCGAAAGCTGAGCAACTCTCATCTGTCCAAGGATATCCTTTTTTCCAAATAAGACCACAAAGTGCCATCTATCACCAGAAGGGACCACTGCGAGAGTGTATATATCCCAGTTCGTATTGTTGTTTCCTGAGACAAAGCTAATGAGTTGCCAAAAAGCACCAAACAGCTGTAAATTATTGGCCTTTTGTGGTCGGACGGAAGAAAGCTATAGTAGCTTCTTTTTTTCTTGCAAGTGAGTGAAGTGATTCTTCCCAGAGATCAAAAGGAACGGTCAAATGAGATATCCATCTCACAAGCACGGAACATGTACTTAGAGCGTCAGATTACAGTGTTCTATACATTTTTTGCATAATATTAGTGCACTTTTAAAATTTTGCAACTAAAGGCTTGTAAAATATTTAATCAAAAGTCGTCAATCCCCAGAAAATATTTATAAACATAACCAACAAATAATTGCATAGAATCATCCAATCAAGTGAGCCGAAACTCTCGTTAAAGCGTGTACCGAGAAGCACTTGGTTCAGGGGCCCAGTCTAGAAGTGAGGAATCACATCTCACTTTGACAAATGAAACGCATTGACATGTGGAGCAATTTGAAGCCAGGTAAGATTATCTGAGAAAATGGCGAAAAATAAAGGGACTTTATTACTAGTTTGTTCAATGGCGGAGAGATGGTATCTACTATAGGACCAGAATCGGCGACATTTAGCGGCCACGCTAGGGACACGGCTAACAATTCGAACTGGAATACAGTTCCAGCAGACAACTTGCTGTTTCTCTCTCTCACAGTTGTCGATTCTGGTAACAGATGGCACTTTGTGTTGTCATATTTCGAAAATATTTGAGGTTTTTTAAATCATTCTAAACAATTTCTTATGAAATTTACTCTGATCATTGTTTTCAAGATGTAAGCGATCTAATATTTGTAAAAGCTCGAGATAGGCCATTTTAGACCACGCAACATAATAAGAAAAAAAGGTTTCAATGTTGCGAAACTTATTTACTACTCTCCGAAACTTTAAAGTTAGTCAAACGCTGGAAAGATGCAGCAATCCTCGGCAGAGATCTCTTTATTCTCTTTTCATATGGATGAAGTTAGGCATTACACGAATAAATAATATTGCATGCGAAATAGCACGGAACTCATAAAGAGCCTTTTTGAATTTCGTAATCGAGATATTTCATTCGTCAAAATTCCGCGAATCTGACCAGGTTTTATTGGCCATCTGTTTTGATCTCTCGCCTTAACATCAAATAACAAAAATTAACAGCACAGTGACAGTGTATGACATGCAAGAACCCCCTCGATGCCCCTCCACAACCGTTTGCGAAGAGCCATCCCTCGGTTAAAAACCCCTCCAAAAAAACTCTTAACCCGTTGTGGATGATTAGTGCATGAAAAAAATATGAAAGAGAGTTTGAATCATATCAAATTCGTTTTTGTCTGGAAACTTGAAAATTTTGGGAGTTTGCTTGAAACGACAAATGTTTGGTAACGGTATGTACCTAAACGTGACCGAAGCGATTGAAGGTTATTTCACACGTTACCGAGTGATTTCGATCATATTTTGAGTAGTTAAAAAATCCAAAATTCACGGTGGGAATGTTAAATGTTATTACTGTATTGGCTTTCGCCTAATTATGCGTCTCTGAAATGCTGAACAGACGTGGCGGTACCAGAGCTGGGTACCACAAGTGGTGCCGGAGGTCGACCCAGATTTCACGTGTCCGTCATGTCGCATCATGACAAGAACACGAAGGAATTAATTTCTGCTTCGTCGTACGACTCGAGTCTCCAGCAGGGCACTATATTAAGTACCACCTAATGTTCCAGTTCATTGTATTGTAATTGTCTGGATTTGAGTTTTACGAGTGATTTTTTTTATAATATTCAATTATAGTTTCCAAATCACCAATCGGGCAGTCTCTACACCAACGGATCTATACCGATAGAAATTGTGTATCGAATTTAATATTTTTGGGGCATTATATGTTTCATAACAAAAACCATTGACAACGTTTCTACATATTAATACTACTAACGTGTAAATACCTATATTAATGAAAATTTATCGAAAATTAAAAAAAAATTGCATCGGCCGGGAATCGAACCCGGGCCGCCCGCGTGGCAGGCGAGCATTCTACCACTGAACCACCGATGCCTTTGATTTTTCTTTGCTAAAAATAAGCTGCTATATGCATAAATTCATTTTCAACATGTAATAATAGTTCCCTGTTTGTGGGGGTCAGTGTCAATGTTGCCGAACCGAAAAGAAGCAAATCGGTAGATAGTGTCGTTGAAATTCGGTGAGCTTAAGGACAAAATCGGTGGAAAGAAAAAAGCAGATTCGACTCTCGTCGCAAGATAATACGTATAGACGTCTATATTAACAGAATTACAAAATTATAGGGGACTTATTGGCGAATCAAGGGCTTTTGACACAGATTATAC